CGAGCCCGGAGCATTCGATCCGGAGACGAGCGCACTAACCATGAAGCCATTGCGCCTCCCAAGACTAATTTTAAGAGGTTATTAATTGCATGAATGATGTCGAGTAATAAGGGACATGGTTAACCCAGTTCAATCATAAAACATACCTGCACCGCCTGCCACGTCCGCCATCTTACACCATTTATTTCAACAACTGCTCTTTACTTACTTGTCGTCTCTTCTGAGAAAGAGAAACGAACACTGAGTTTATTTTAAAATGATCACCCCCCTGTGTTGAATGTTATCAAGCTGTTCACCAGGACACTCGAGGTTATAACAAAAGGGATTCAGAAATTCTGCTCTCTAGCTGCGCCAAACGTCTCTCTGTTTTAATTACCACTAGTTATTTTTAAAAATACTACCGCAGCCAGCGAGAAGTGAAATTTAGGGATTATATTAATTAGTGCATTACGTACAAGTTGAATCTTTTTTTCAATACATAAACGATTGTATACAAACATGTGCTTTGCAATTAATGTCCAGTGAATGCAAAATATTTTGGATTTTTCCTAGCTTATCTGAGTTGATTTTATCCCTTTGCATGCATTGACATTGACACGACAAGAAAAAAGGAAGCGTAAAACGGGAACCTTTTCCTGACTTATTAACACTTCGAGATAACAGAGTAACATTCTAAAACAAACAGCAGGTGCAGTAAGTTCCCAACGATAACAAAAGTTTTCTTTCTAAAGAGTAGGATCATTTTGAAATCAAAGAAACATAACAACAAAAATAAACTTCCTGGTCAAAGTAAAACTATAATCAGTGTTTGCTTTTTTGCTGAAATTCATTACAATTTCTATCCGTGCATCTCAGCAGGGAGCTATACTTTCAAACTTTGAATAACAAAGTGGTATCAACGCATGAATAAAATAAGTAGGAAAAGAAGTAGTTTTATTTTCAGTGGAATAAAATTAATTTACTCTGTGTATACCTATCTGCTGGCTAGCTATTTTTTCATCGAATTCGTATCATTAAGTTTAAACAAGTTTAACCGTCTTGTAACTGAGGGCCGTTCACAGTGGTAACGATTTTTCTGAATTCATCACAAATTCGGAACGTTTTAAATTCTCAGATTTGTTTTCCAGTTTACAAAAGCAGAACTGGGGTCAAGACTTCCTACACTCATTTCCAATCTCTGTATGAAAACGTCTGATTAAAAACACATAACGGGAATGTGACGAAGCCCGTAGATTTTGCTGTGTTATTGTCAGCGGGGTTTAATGAATCTACATCAGCAAACAAAGTGGGTTAAATGCGCCTTCGCCCGCATAATCAAAACTTGATAATGAGCTTTCTTCGCGTTCATCGACCATCATCCTCGCGGCGGGGTGAGGTCGACGAACAAGCTGAGAGTATGTAAGCGTTGACGAGAACAGCGCAAAAACTCAGTGACTTTATTAAAATTTGAGCAGGTTTAAATCTGACAGAACACATGAGAAGTAGCAGTTACCTGGGGGGCGAATTTTAGACCTAGTCAATTTAAATAACTCTAAATGACTTTCGTTTGATCTGGCTTTAAGCCATCGACTTCCACAACCTCAGAAGTTTATATGCCTGGAAATTCGAATACTCAAAATCTAGCTAACAGAGCTAATGTTAAACAGACTGTATTACAACCGGTAATGAGATGTGAGATTTTTAGCTTGAAACTAAAGGAATATGAGACGAAACAAAACCTGAATCATAATTTTTGCAAAACATACCTCTATATCTCTGTTTCTAAACTGTTAACTCTAGCCGGATTCTTTTCGTAGTTGAAGATTATTTGGGTGCCTTTTCTTCCAGTTACATGCGAAGACAAAATAGAATGTAACGAAGTAATTATCAATGCTTTTACACTACTGACGAATTACAATGTCTTCTCTCTTTCCTTGCCGAGTTTCCGATGTTTTATAGACAATTAAATCTGTAATTAAACAGATAAATGAATATTACTCTGTCTCTCTATGGTGGAAATATATAATTTAAATCTCGTTATTGGCAATTGTTATATTTTATCCGCCTACACGTCGCGTATGTAGCCTATGAAAAATAATCATTTGCTCGCTCTCAATAACACCTTCGCTCAATCAGTTAACAAGGATGCAAAGATTTTTTTCGGCCAATTTCCTTACTTTAGGCATGTAAACCAGGTGGCTGTTAACTCGGTACTTCTAGAAAAGGAAATGCGAAATTAAACAAGATCTACTTACATAAATAACATTGACTTAATCGCATGAGGCACGCCAGTGAATGTGCACCTAATATAAAAAGATAGCTCCGAATAAATGCTAGATTTCTAGATTTCTTTTTTGCGTCAAACCTTGTGGAGTATATTTACTAAAAAGAATTGCAAAAGCAAATAGCGTAATTACACGTGCATGTCTTTACATTGTGCGAGTAATCTACATTTGAAAGGTTTCACCGATCTATAATCACTTACACAATGATTAACAGAAATATGGCTTTCAGAAAGTTGTAGGATTAGATCTAAATACCCTTTTTCGTTCATTGCCGACGTTATTTTTAACTTAATAACCTCACGTTAATCTTGCAAATTTGTTTATTAATTTTTCTGGAAGAAATTGGAAGAAAACGAAGATTTTACGATCAGTTTTGGTGTACCAAGAAGTTAAAAAAGTTTCCAAAATTCTTCATTTTCGAAAGTGCTATTCTGGGCTACTCAGCCGCTCTGTTCCTAATGTAATTATTACGTCACGTCACAGACGTCGCGCTGGGAGATTCCCGCTGACTCCTGAGAAGGGATAAGCTCCTCATGCGCCTTGTGAAGAGATGTTTTCAAACAGACCAAAAATGAAATAACGCTAGAAGTTATTAACTTGAAATGTTTCTTCAAATATATTAGTTATATCCAAAAGAATATACTAAAATATCATGTCTTGTCTTAGTTTTTCAACCGCTGCAACAACGACAAATTAAAAAACAACATCATTTGTGAAATTAACTGGCGAACCACTGAAAATCACACATGTGGCAAAAAAAATGTTAATGATTGCTTTTAAGCTATCATTACCTAAGCGATTGACAATGATCATCTGTGTTACATTGGAAGTAGTTATATATTTCAGTCTTACTCATGCACGGAGAAACGAAATACCATAGATTCCAGAATAATCAAAACAATAAAGCTTCTTGGACTCAAAAAGACACTGTTCCTTGAATAAACCAAGGGCTTTTGTATTCATTTGTTAAAAAAAAGAAAAAAAAACTTGAACAAAGAGCAATTAAATTGAAAATTTGCAGGAAAAGCAAGGTATGACCGCATAAATTATGCGGCCTCCGAGACAACAAGCGCGAAAACAGCCCTTTCTGAGAATACAACAAGCTTTGGTCATATTGTTCAACTCAGATTTGTTTCCGATTCGGATTCCATTACTTGCTTTGTACAATGTCATTAGATAAAGAATAAAAATTGTGTCCACGATTTCTGTAAAATTGTTTAAACTCAGCGATCATAACTTACTTTAATAAATTTCGCGGTCTCGCCAGCAGTGCGGTGTAGTGAAAAAAACATTTTTGTAAAATAACTGACCTAGAATTACAAATTTTACATTTTTAGCTACGTAATTACTGACCTATAACTGAGGCCAATGTATCCCTTTTCTTTCTAAAAAAAAATCCCTTCTCATGAGGGTCACGGTGTTTTGTACGTTACTACTGAACAAAACTAATTTAGATTATTAGTGCTCGGTTCTGTATATGTCTTCGCCCAACCCTCGGTTGAAAGTGTAATTAGTTTCTTGCCTGTGATGTTTTTTTCAATGTTTTAGTATAATTAACGAATTTCGCAAGGAGCAATTATGCCGCTTGCATAATTAATGACAGTACACTTATGAGCTAGCACCACTGGTAAATAACAAACTAAGACGAAAGTTCAATATTCAAGCCAAATCTCCGAAGAAAATAAATGATTATGAATCTGAGCCAGCGGCATCTTAGTGAGCCGGTGTTTGTGGAATCAAATTACAAAATGCGGTCATTGTTTGATCATATCATACAAAAGGAGACTGAAAGGAAATGTATATTCTCAAGAGAATTTAAAACAAGTGGATCAGTTTTCATGCGATGTCTGTGTTAGATAATTCTGCTGGCTTTGTTGTTACTTAATGAAGCCATCAAAGTTCGTTAAGAGGAGTTGACCATGGGGTAAATTATTTTAACGGGACTTCCAGTTGGTCCACTCAATGGAATTAATTATCATTATTAGTCTAACAAAGTGCAGCAGAGGGAATGGTGTAATAACTCAAGTAAGCGCTCAAGGCGTTCAAATTCTCCGTCACACGATTTAACCCAGTGCGTATTTGGTGGGGTTTGCGAAATAGCAAACCTCTTGCCTCGAACAATTTCAGTACGGATTAATTTGTGTCCTTTTTTAGCCAACACCTATTCACACATTAATTGTTAGTTCACTAAACAGATCCCGATCTGTACGTACAGAATATTGCCGAGTAAGCACGAAGCTATAACGGACTGAATTGAATGGAAGCACAAAATAACGAGGCAATCTTTAGACCGATACACAAACGTTCTAGAGATTATTGTAGTGTTTTTGGAGTACTAAGTACCAACCTTTGCCATTAACAATCGTCACTGAATATGAATATCTGAATAAAATTGTTACTGCGAAGCACTTTTAAACTGTGCATTGAAAATAATAACAAAATCATGAAACTAATAGAAATCAAATGGATTATCTTCCTACTTCGACACGAAATTGATCTTTCAGAAATAAATTGCCATATTGGGTGCCTTCAGAAACAAATGTATAAGATAACTCATTTTTCCAAATTGAAAACCAACATAATGGAGACATAGAATTTTGTATATCTTGTATAAAAGTTTTGTTTGGTAAGTGTAGTGCAAAAAACTGTAAAATTAAAATGTTTCAATTGTTTTGTTTTGCAACATATTCTGAGTTCCACAGATTTGAGCTGTTTCAGCTTTGAGATTGCTAAACTGAAGGCCTAACGTATTAAACAAGCAAACAAATCGCGAAAACTCACTTTTAGCTGCTAGTAACCGTATCCTAGAGAGCGTTTTAAGCAGTTTCATGAGACAAACCTTGATATGTCATTACGTTCGTTCTGACAGCGACAAATCGGGTAAAGAAACTTCCTGCTAGAATGAACTCAAAACCGCCCATGATGAAACACCGTAGGTGATAACTGCTCTGTCTCATTAATTAACTGATTCTTTAAGTCGCCTGTTGATAATGCGAAGTTGGGGGCACAAAAGACAAATGAACCTGCCAGGTGGAAAAATCCATTTGATCCAGTGTCATCGATTCCGTGAATATTAAATAGAGTTCATAGGGCTTTTTCTGGTAAAATCCCCTCCTAATACTTCAAGTCATGCCGGGGAATATAATTATCCAAAAGGTGTATTGGAAAAAAAAAAAAAACAATTAATTGCCTACATGATGAATTTGGAGGTGCAATACAGAGTCATACACATATAGTTATAGAAAGAATTCCGCTATAGACCTTTTTACTATTTACGCGGAACTCGGCAATTTCATCTTCCCAAGGAAGCGCGATGTGCGCTCGCCTACGGATCGAGAGATCTGGGTTCGAGCCCTGGCCGCGGGGACATTATGCTATGTTCTTAGGCAAGACGCTTTACTCTCACAGCGCCTCTCTACACCCAGGTGTATAAATGGGTACTGGTGAATTTGATGCTGAGGGTAGCCCTGGGATGGACTAGAATCCCATCCAGGTGGGAGTAGAAATACTCCTAGTCGCTTCATGCCACAGAAACCGGAGATATTCGCCGGTCTGATGGGCCACTTGGCTCGTAAGCAGACTTACAGTTTACCAGTTTACCTTTCAAAACTCAAGTTAGCACTGAGGAAGGGCTAGGTCCGAAACGTCTGCTATAAACATTGAGTTTAATTTAGCACTGAATTGTTATTATTTACAACTTTTGAACTGTTTACTGTGCCACACAGAAACTGATCCTTTTGGATTACAAATATTTACTACAGTTTACCTAAGTCATGATTCCTGAAATTTGTCGGGCTGTCGGGAAAAGGTCACCGAAGTTGATTAATTTTTTTCGTTCTCATCGCCTGTCTGCTTAAACATTTATTGATACCGTTTGGAGAAAATCTGGATCTTTTCCGTATTTTCCTAGATCCTCAGCTTTTACCTTTTATGAGAAATCAACTGGTCGACACCATTTGCTGTGAGCAGGAGACAAATATTAAATTAAATCCCAACACGGCTGGGCTCCGCTTACGTTTCGAGCTTAATCACGGGAAATCACCAAAACAACAGTGAAACTACAGTAAAACCACGCTGCACAACGTGACAAAAAAAAACACAAAAATGTTAGAAAAGCCACAACAAGACTCTGCGAGTGAACAATCATGTTATTGAAAAAACTTAACGTTATTTTACCCATCGTAAAACTATAAAATACCGCTTTGACATTCACAGAGATTTTCATATCGCATTATTTTTGAAAAGCAGAAACTAATCTTAAAACATTTTAGTAAGGCCAAAATTCCGAAACAATTTGCGAGAAACGAGAAAAGCTAGAAATATTTATTTTATGTTTACCGATTGTAGCTTCAATACATGCGTAATTTTAGGCTATTCATTATTTCAGCATTAAGCATTATTTCAAATTTGGTCTTGTTGATTTTAAAGATTTTTGTTCACATCTCGTAAACATGGTAACTATATATAATATTGAGGATCTGAAGGCTGGTTTATTTCAGTGACATTTCCAGTGAAGATACTGTGAACTCAGTTGGCATAGAATACTTATGAGATAGAGGAGTTAGAAACGTTGCGCTGTTTGTTTACTTGACCACATCTATCGCAAACATGAAAATTTGTTTTTCATTAGTAAAGATCAAAGACGACGCCACTTAAACCATTTATTTCAGGAAAAAAAGGAAAATCGCAAGGTGTTCCTTTATATAAAAGACAAATTTACCTCTAAGTCAGAGAAAAACTCATTAAAAAGAGTTGCGTCAAGCGCTTGTGATAACGGCTAACAACTTGAACATTCATGTGTATAATTGTGCAAAATCACTCTATGGTAGGATTTTTTTTTTCAAAGATGCAATGCAGTTAATAATCAGAGGAAATAAGCCACATCTACCAAATAATTAAAAGGGGAAATAAGTATTTCATCTTCCCGCAGAAGTAATTACGAATTGTAGTGTTTCGCGATTGAGTGCAGGCTTATTTATCGTTTAATAAAAAAGATTTGACACTACTTTGAGAAAACTCGTTTTTATAGATTTAATAAATAATAGTTCTTCAACTGAGCGTTTGATTATTTTCTTTTCTTTCTAACTTGTTCTTTTGGTTTTTTCTTTCTTTCCTTTATGCTCATATTTTGTAAAAACAAAAAGCATGTGAAACTCCATATAGAGTGAAAGCGTGACCAGGATTTTATATCTTCGTTTGCAAAAAGTCAAACTGAATTCGTGGCTATCGAGGCGATAAAATCACCACAGAGCGGAAATACTAAGGAAATACAGAGGAAATATTGCTGACAACACAATGAGTTCTCGATTTCCCTTTATATTAATCAGGGCAAACACATTAGCCGTATATCGTTGCATGAAAGAATAGATGAATCTCAAACAAAGTTGCGTGAGATTTGACAACAAGCAAACCATACGTAATTCTTAAAATCATGCTAGTTCCTTTTTCAGATGCCATTTTCATAATCTCTTTTGTTTTCTGATGTCGTTATTACTGATTTGAGCGGTGATTTTGCAGTCATTTTATTCTCCATTGTTCCATGTCATAGTCTTTCGAATCGGCCTTGGAATCGAAACTTGGATTACTCGCTCAAAATCACTCATTCAACAAAGAGTTCCATAAAAAATCATGACAAGTGTAAATTGTTATATGGGCGTGATTTTTTCTAATCATGGCTGAAGATTTCATAGCGAAGATCACGTTCTTTCTCGACTTACCGCGAACGCACAATGTAAGGAAAATGCTCCTGAAGAATTCAGAGTTGTGGGTAAAAATTTCTACCTTATCATTATTAGGAGAAAACATTCATATAAAGTGAAGCATGCTGAATCTTATCCTAAAAGAACATTTAATTTCCGCAAGGCATACTTCAGCAGTGGATTAATCAAAACCTTTTTCAAAAATTAACAGTGTATAGCTCTGCAGTGCGTTAATGACTTTTAATTTTAAGTGGGCTTTACTTTCTCCGAGTTCTTTTTTTATATATGTATAATTTAGAGAGTAAACCAAACGTGTGAAAATTTATCTTTGGAAAGAACAGTTGAAATCATTGACAACACTTGCAGCTGATATCCCGTAAAATATTTCCTTTCGAATTTAAATTAATGTTGGGAACTTTCCACGAATCCTGACACTTTTAAAAATAAACGATGTTAGATCATAGATCATAATAAAAGTCCTTGATTGCAGTTATCATTTATGAAGACTTTTCTTGTCATTATTCGTTTTTCTTTCATAGAAAACCACTAATTCCTGAAAGGGCCACTGAAATTAGTACTGGACAAAACAAAGGCTGTAAAGGTGGTGTTTGAGCTCACCACTCATTCATTCTTAGGCGCGCACGGCGATTCATCTTTAGCTAGTTCAAACGCGAAAGCAACACCCAGAACCTGATGCCATTTTTAACGCCTATATTGAAGGTGACAGTAAAAAAAAAAACATCTGTCGTTTGAATTATTAATTAAAACTTCCGATAACAACACTGCACGCTTCTCCGTATAATTCTCTGGAAGAGAACTACATCTTATCAAACTACAACAATAATCAAAAAGTTTGGGAAAAACAAACCTGGGCCCAGATCCTTATGAACACGACTGGACTGAATGAATCTCTAAAGTTTCTGCCGCAACTGGCTTCTTGTTTTTCGGAATAACTGGATATCTGAAATACAAGAATATTCGAAGTATTAATGACAAAACTACACACAAACATTAATCTTCTCCATACCTAATATAGCCCCCTACCTGCTTCAAGCATGCACCAGGGCTTGTTTTTAAAATAACTCCCTTTTTTAAGAAAGCTTGTCCGCTCCTTCGCTGGCTAAGGAGGGGCAGAGTTGAGAGGCCCTCAATGCGAGTCTCTTTCAAAGACAGACTTCTTTGATGTAAAAAACGGTAGAACAGATCATACTAATTGTTATTTACTTGATGTTCTTAGCAGGAAAATGAAATCAGAAAAAGGACAAAAACGTTATAAGTAGTATTTACACGTCACGCCGATTATTAAATTTGTCAACCAATGAACTGAAAGATTTGCTGGGAACAATACTTCATCACTACTTCGACATTCGCACGTCCGGCCGACCAGAAAAGGCTACTACTGTAGATGCGATTTTCATTACAAAGAGAAATTGTTGGAAACAAAAATATCTCGCTTCCATCAGTAAGCGATAACGTTGTCTTAGGCGGGGTGAATGAGTAGGTGATGATGTCCTTTTTATCATTATGACCGCTATTAACGATCAAGCACGTAACATGGTTGAAAATTAATAATTGGAATTCATTTGGTTGCATTGAAAAGAAAAAAAAGCCGAGCAAATAATGACGAAACTAACTGTCATTAGAACTCAGCGATTGAAATTACAAGTGCAAACAATGTATGCAGTGAAAATTACAAAGCTGAAAATGCGTTATCTTTAAAAAAAAAAACTCTGGGCAAGGTTTTCAACATAATGATATCGGCAAAGAAAATGATTGTAATTTACTAAGACTATAATGAATTTATTGTGGTGAAAAAGCATATATAGCTCTCTGGTGGTCTTAATGTATATTTTTGACAGCCACTTTTCAGTGTGTACAAAGAAAACAACGGCCAAAGATTTGAAATTAAAACTAAAGATAACCGTGACAGAAATTTCAATCTCTTTATATCCTTTAGCTCTCTCAACTGATTGCCCAGCATAAATTTTTTTCAATGTTGGTGTAGGAGAATTTGGTGTTTAATCAGTAATACACATAATTGCTTGTTGACTATGCCTTTTACTGTTTGACAACTAAGGAATTGCCTTTTTGACAAACATTAAGGTACAGGACCATTTTAAACTCGAACAAGTGTTTTGTTAATGAAATTTCAGTGTTCCTCTTGGAATAGTATGCCACAGAGTCTGAATTCAAATTGAATGTGTGTTCGCACTTAACACTTGCCATGAATAATTTTCATGATTTTCGAGAACTTTTCAAGTTTTCTGGGTTTTTTTGTCTTATCACAACCGAGCGGAAAGCGAATTAGAAAAATGGCTGATTGTGCCGTAGATATAGTTTCATTTCTGCAAGGTAAATATTATTGACTTAAGTTTATTTTCATTTAGCACATATAATGAATAATTTTTTTAGTTTAAAAGTAGTCGTGCAGCTACGAGTAAGCAAAGCACAATACATCGAAAGACTTATTAATTTTTCGGAGTTTGTGCGACACAAGTAGCCTTATCTACAAGGTAAGGCTCCGACTTCACTTCTTATTAACGTTACGCGTGTACCCTATGTTATAAGTTTGCAGTCGTTATTGCGCAACATGACAAAGCGTGTGTCGATAGCACGTACACGGGATATTGATGATATGAATTGGAATAAAATGCAATGATGAAAGTATCGTTCACTTTAAAGACAGAAAAAATAAACTGTCCGGTCAATCAGCATGGGTTTCTGAATGGAGAGCTTAAATTAACATCCCGCAGGCGTCGTGCCAGGTAGTTTCACGCTGTTTTGAAGTCATCAATTAATTTCTTGCCAATATAGTGTATGAAGCACATTTATATTACTTACTAATTTTTTCTCAAGATGATTAACAGAACACGAGTGATCAGTGGGCACGGAGGAACTCGAGCTTACCTTGTTATGCCTTCTAGAGAAAAACCACGAGAGAATATAATCTATAGATACGAACCTGAACAAACATAACCGTCTTTGGTCACAGGAAGCACTATTTACCTTCCTTCAAAACCCTAACTCGATCAACCTGCACTGAGAAATTATTAATTAAAGATCCATCAATCACTCTTAGTGTTTGACCAATCACATTGGTGATAGTTCCGCAAAAACCCGAGCTCGTTCAATAAATTTATACCTTGACGCTAGAAACCATTCAAATGCAAAAACCAATTATAAGTTCCTGTTTGAGCGAATATTTACAAGTCAACCTGGAATATTTTTCCGTTGTGCAGAGTTCTCGATCGATGTGAAATTATGTTGAAATTCAAATATTGTCAGTAACTTTCAGTTCAAACTGTTCCATTTTTGCTTTATTTTCACACATTTTTCAAAACTTTAACTTTTACCAACCCAACAAAAATATGAACTCTTTCGGCAAAACACAACTACAAAGGTAGCCGTTTAAGTTACAAGTATCACCCATCTTAATTAAGAAGCACTTTACACAATAAAAGTTCATTTTCAAAGGTTCCCAAAAGGCCAACTCGTTGCCAATTTACGTAACCTGAAACTCCTCAGTTCACGGTACTCTTTCTCTTCCAAATAAATGCGCATTTGAGTTGAAAGTCCGAACTCAGTGACAATTTTTTCCACCAATCATAGTTGCATAAAGACGGCTGAGAACACAAAAACAAGGATGCAAAATGTTCATTGAGATTTTTGTGAATTCAGCTGTTCACTTAACAAATTGTAGAACCTTTTAGGATGGTAGAACAGGACTTTGTAAGGTTAAGGACTATTTATCCTTTGAAAAAAAAACCGTTTTTGGATCAACTTCCGTGAGTGTTTCCCAACCGATGGTCAAATCCTCTCTCTGTCTTTCAAATAGCTTGTTACTCGATAAATGTTTCGTACTGCGACATCAGGCTAAGAAGCGAGGTCAAACAGAAACAAGAGTCGACGAAGGTTCACGGGCAAGAATTGCTTTAAAATTTCATTTTGTAAATTCATTGCCTTTCATGATCACTGAGTGCGCTAAAACAAGCAGAGAGAACGCGGGAGCTGCTGCGCACGAGCTAAAACTTTTCAGCGTCAACTGTTATCAAAATTTGAGCAGCTTAAAATTTAAATGAAGCGCATGAGAGGTTTCTAACCACAGCTCAACCCAAAAATTATGATAAACTATAGAAGTTGATCTGCTATTTGAGACATTCGATGTTCGAATGGAACGAACACATTTGTAACATACCACTCTACCTATCACACCCCTTGAACGGAAAGAAAGAGCTGTGTTATCTTGGGTTAGTTGAAAACTGCAACGCTCAGCCTGATGTTGGAACTTTTTAGTCCCAACATCAGGGACTTTTTAGTCCTATTTAATTAAGTAATCCTGCCGCCTTTGAAGTCGTTTTCATATGCACGCGTTAATTATTAGGGATTTATCATCTGAGGGTACTGCACGCAAGTGTTACAAAACCGAAAAGTACAAAGGCTTTAACGAGCGGGCCTTATCAAGTACATTGATGTGCGTTGAGTAACTGCATTCATTTCGCGCGCCCCTTAATCGTTTTCTTCACAGATAGAAAGTTATCCTCGACCACTAGAAGGGGATTTTAAGTTAAGAAAATATATTGACTCCTTTAAAGTCGACACGATTGAACCATCTTTAGATTAGTACTCATTCAAAGTTTCACACCACAGTAGATCTCTATCAAGGCAGAAAACTATAAAGAAAGAAGAGCAAATGTTAAAACAAAAGAGCACCAGGCCGCGTTAAAGAAAGGCATACACAGGTTTCACAATAACCAGAATCATAATGGCTAGTTAGTTAATCTACAGGGAACAAGTTGACGCTACGATTGGGTTAAATTCGTCGGTAAATTTTTCTCAATTTACCAAACTGATATATACTGAAAAATTCCTTTGCGTGTTAGTTACAATGTACTGAAGTATCCTAAATATGCGGTCTAAGTCGTATTTCTATTTAAGTCTCATCAATCGAAGGTTACTCACCTTTTGACCTCAAGAAAAGACGACTAGATAAATAAACACAGCTTTTGACTTAAGAGCATCGATAAAACGAAAGGCATTGTCAGGTAATGCCCGCAATGCTTTGTGGTTAAAAGGTAAAGCGGACAATGCTTTGTGGTTACCAGGGCAAAGTGCGCAATGTTTTGTGGTTACCAGGGTAAAACGCGCAATGTTTTGTGGCTATCAGGTCACCAGGGTAACACTTGGATTTCGAATAAGTAAAAGTACAGAAGTTTAGATTTTGCCTTTCGATTTAAGTGGGCTTCAAGCCTTATCTTTGTCCTTTTTTGGTATGATTGTAGAATACGCTGAAAATGTCTTTAGAACAATACTACGATTAAGGTCTGGAAAGACAAGCGCGCTCTTCTGACTGAAATCCGGCTTCCGTCGTTTTCAATAAAGAAAGGAAAAGAAAGTTGGAGGAAGAAAAGACTTTTCCACGCTCATGTTCTGACTTTTAAAAACACGTAAGTCATACTAACTACAACAAAACCTTTAAGAGTGCTCAGTGCACGGTCTCATGCTTGGAAAATATTGGACAGGAAAAAAGAAGCAATATGATTGGTTGATTTTACTTATTGGCCTTCTGAACTATCTTAGTCGTGTAATATTGGGTACATTTCACTGACACTGTGCTAATGACATATTTTCGTGCAACTGCATGCTAAATAATATTTGCACAACCCACAATCATTTAATTGGCTTCTGCGATGGGCGAGCGTTAAACATGTCAGCCAAAAATGTCAGCTGCACTAAAACATAACACGGACGCCAATGATATCTGGCGCACGTAAAATATATGCGTCAGTGAAAAACTTTACAAGCGTTCGTTTCAGCTGTTGCGTAAACTTTTTACGTACTTAGAACACGGATCTATTCTTGGGACAAAATAATTACGATGCAGCGTGCGTTTTCTAGTACGCTGATGCTGCACGTTTCACAAACGGCGTCTCGCGCCAATTCGAGTTTGGTACCAAATGCTGTTTCTGCATGAGATTGAAAAGTAGAGCGGGGTTCAACTTTTATCGCAGACAAAAGCCGTTAAAAAATGTTCTCCGTTTTATTAAACTGAAAAATCTTCTAAATTCATGTCCTTTTGTCACGCTTAAAACGAAAACAAATTGGACTTTCACCTTAATCTACCATGTTCAGTTAAGGTGAATTTCTTTTGTTGCGTTATTTTACATATGCTTACAGATGTAAATTTTGCCGGCTCTACGTGCGTAAAATAATTTAATTTTTAATTACAATGATACTTTGCCTTAAAAAATATAAATTAAAAAAGAACAAAGCAAAAAGATTACGGGATAGTAGCAGGAAGAAACTCAATTTCTATTCTAATGTCACTCTTTTTCATTAAAATGTGTTATGCAAAAAGATAACTGTGAAAATGATATTATTTGCTGACACAAATGTGTAATATAGAATTGAAAAAATACAAGTGAGATCAATAAGTGGACTACTACTACTTCGAGCGCAGGTAACTTAGCAGGCAGATTTAAAATTTAAACAGTAAAATTGATAAAACATATGTACGGCCTGCGTTTGCGGAAATAGATGGACTATTTTAAACTTTTTCCACAGTGTCAAGCGGAAAAACTTGAACAACATTGAACGCTTCCACAGACGTCCGTCCGCCCAATTTCTCCATTTCATTTTACCTGGCTCCTGATTTTACGCACGTAAAGCTGGAAACATTTAACGTGACAGCGCAACGTCCAGCTTTCGGTTAATTCACATTCAACTGGCCGGTTACGCATGTAACTATGTACTGGTCGCTAGCAAGTTTGTTCGATTTTCGTTTCTCCCTTGAGCTCCCGTGAAGGTTCATGAGTTACTATCATAACTAAGATATCAACTCATGTCGAGAAACTGAAATGAAATGAAATGAAATGAAATGAACTGCTTCGATCTTTTTGTAGTTCTAAAATTAAAATTTCTATCTGGGCCGCGATACTCCAATGCTCAAATGGCCTGCTGTTAACAACTGTTTCAAGTAAAGCCAACTTTCGAAACTATTAAAAGGGAAGTAAGTATTTTAAATTGTAATGTTCCACTCGGATAAGTTTACCTTACAACTTGATGAATCCAATTTCCTGCTCCAAATTAAACTGGTATTTTCAGTGATGTATACTAACTTACAGAGTAATAACGGTCAGATTGAAGCTTAAGCGTGAAAGTTGTGCCGGGTTGACTCAGCAATGCTGATGTGCTAATTATCATTCATAAGGGGAGAATTGTGACACGGCCTTCAGCTTCTTAGAAATTCATTGGGTGAAGCCGATTCAAATTGTTTACTCAATAGAATAATAGCTGCCCCCACGCTTTGAAGCTCGTTCCATTTTGCATGGTATTAAAGTGGACTACTTTGGTATTTTGGAAAGTGCTGATTTATGTAAGGCTAGCGCTAAATCGGGTTCGAGGTTTCCTTCTGGTGTTCAAACTGCTTCGGGACGCTCTTTTTTCTAACAAAAGCGATGGGAAGAACAAAAATAAAGTTAAACGAGGTCACGTTATCTTATGTAAATTTGATTTCACAGCGGATGTCTACGCCTACTCCTTTAAATATTGCCTAGTAAGTACACGCTCACCAAAAAATGTTATCTTTGTGAAACAGTAGCTCCAGCGGCAGTGAGAGTGACAGCGAAGCGGAATAGAAGAGTCATGAAACGTGGTCGTATGCAAAGACAGTACCAAGTTTGAAGTATATGTCATGTTTTAACGGAGTGTTGTAAGCGAGGCATACATTAAGCTTCCTCGAAAAAAAAAAAAAGCCTCAAAAGACGTCCATGTTGAGAAATGCTTCCTGTTTCGCTTATCTGAGAGACAAGGGAAGGTGGACCAGAAATTTAGGGATTTCATTGTTTACTCCTATCGTGACCTGTCTTGTAATAAGAAAGGAGAAAACGTCCTTAAATGATCTTAAATATCCTTGGATATTCAGCTACCTCGAACTCGGTGCGTTTGTGGTGAAGGATTACATTTAGAAGAGCTTGGGAGGACTTCGTTTTCAATTTTTTCGTAACTGTTTATAATTTTGGATCGAAGGAGTCATTATATTATTCAAATATGAAAGCAAACTGAAAATCATTCAGGTACCAAAGTATCGCCAGAACCTGACATCGGTCGATGAAAAACACAGACTGCGGACTGCGGACTGCAGACTGCAGACTACAGACCAGGAGTAAAACGCAGGCTGCGGACTGTAGACTGCAGACTGCAGACTGCAGACCACAGCCATGGGTAAAACGCAGACTGCAGACTTTTTAAGGGTGCATGTCATGCTACCATTTTCGTCATTAAGAGCTAACCGTAAATAGACTAACTGGAGCATTATTCAGGCTAACCTGAGTAACATTAGACTGATATTCAGGCTAACCTAAGTTATATACAGTCTAACTTGAGTGATAAACTGAACGGAAGGTTGAAAAAGCTCTTGAAAGTGTCAAATAGTTAGCGTAAACTATACGCTGCGAGCTAAGCTCTCCTTCAGAAGGGGCAAAATGTAATGATATTCAGGCTAACCAGAGCTGGTGCTCTTCAGGCTAACCAAACTGCAGACTTTCAAAACGATTAGTTTACGGTTTACTCGAAATATAGGTCTGTATACTGCAGTCTGCATTTTACCCTTAGTCTGCATTTTAACCCTGGACTGCAGTCTGCAGTCTGTGCGTTTTAACATTGACGAGGTTAAAATTTGCCCGCGTGTCATTTCTATTGTTTTGAGATAGGCTATTGCTAACCTCAATTTAGCGAGTTAAATTCAACCCTCCTCGCGACGGAGATACGCTGACTAACGACACTAACCTTGGTTTAAGAAGGAAAATTGGAACAAAGTCTTTGCCTTACACGAAATTCCGTCGTCGATCGATGACTACACAGACAAAGAACTTCGCGAAGACTGACAGTGCAGCTATTTGACGTTCTTTTTGGGTTGAAATTCTATTGGTTCACTTGGTATGAAGTATCCATCTTTACCTTACACTTTTCTCGATAGAAATGGCACTTTTTCATGTACTAAGGTTTTGTTTCCTCGTCTAGTTTGTGGCGATTTGACTTAACCGAGAGTAAGCTTCCTCAACCGGCGAGTTTAACTAACCGACCCACAAAAAGCCGCTTTGAACGACTCTATTTAACCTTCAGGTTAACAAACCTCCAGTTAACAAGCCTCCGCCAAATCCTATACAACATGAGGATAATTGAACAACCGGGCTCTGAAATAATATGGGAGTCCCTAGTCAAATTGCCGCCTGAATTATGTGAGGTTGTTCAACTTCACTGTCAACTGAAATGACTCGACAGAAGAAACGGTAAGATTTTTGGCGAAATTCAGATTTACTTAGTCTTTGACACATAGCGGCATTGCAAAGCTGCAGATTGTCCAAAAATTTGTTCGTGCTTTTTGCTGTAAGTTTAGTAAAATCCTTTTAAACACTGCAAAAGTCTGTACAGTCGTAATTATAACCGACATGAAACACATATCCCTCTTCTGTTTAAATTTGATTTCTTTTTGATATTCGGTGCTTCTCAACTCGCCAACACGGATCAGTGCTATAATCTATCTACTGACGTAAACGGCTCATGAACTTTACGTTAAAGAGTCATTAAACTATGACAGTGGCGGATCTAGGGGGAGAGTGCAGGGAGAACGCACTCCCCTCCCTAAGATGAAGCCTTCTTCTTCGTATTCGCTTTTAAAATTTGTTTACCCCACCAATCAGTTACGTTATTTCTTAATGGTGCACCCCCTCCTAACAAAAATCCAGGATCCGCCCCTGTATGACAAATTTTCGTTCCCGTAAACATCCCTTTCTTTTGTCTCTACCGTGTCCGATTTGAACTTTGTGCAAGGTCTGTAAGAAACGTTCTTTTAAGGTCTCAAAATCTGAACTTCCATTGTTTTAAATTACTTGTATCCTTCAGCATTTAATACTGAGGTGGCAACAGAACAGATGACCCGTATCTTGCTCCTGATAAAGTAAAACCAGCTGTACTGGGGAGAATTCCTGCATGTCCCTTCCGTACAAACAAACAGATATCCAGTGATAAGGAGCTTAGGATTACGACGATATGAAATATATAGTCTTACGGGCAGGGGGGCTTCCTTGCGGAAACTAGGAGAGCCCGGTTGATCCCGACAACATGAACAGTGAAGTCAATTTCACTTACTTGATTATTTGTGGGTATTTCTGTTCATTTTTTTTTTCTTTTTTAGTTTTAGGATGATGGAAATTTTCACTTTAAATCACCACTCAAAGATGTAGTTGAAATTTAAAACTCTGCGTAGCCTTAAATTTGGGATTTTGGTTGATCGGCTTTTAAACATTTGGACCCGAAATTGTGGCATTAAGTTGTTGTTTAGGTTGATGAAAAGAATACAAAACCGTCAACAAAACGCGAACCAAATATCTCAGGCTAACTTTGATCTATTCAGTTTCAGACCACCCAATAAACAGTATTTTCAGAAGCTTGATATTAACGTTTATTACATGGCTTGTGTTTGTAGCGAACATGACGCGCGCTCTGATTGGCTTATTCTGGGGCATTATTCTCCCGTTATGCTCCCGCGGTGATTACGGGCCTGCAAAACCAAAGCAAAAAGTCATATAATAAACAACTTGTTAACCTTGAACGTTCGGTCTTATGGGGAAAATCGCAAACCTCGACTTTGCCGCATTGACCTCTCTATGGCCTATTCAATACGATAAGGTCTCGGTTTAAGATTTTGTCGCAAAGACCTCACTCTGAGTTAATAAGAAGTTCGTAATTTTGAGGCTTACTCCAGATTAAGACTCAAGACCTCACGGTATGTTCATATTTTTTCATGATCAGTATAGCATTTCGGAACGCCCGTGTGATTGTGACCTAAGAAAGACCATTGTGGCCGCAGGGTTATTGAGATATTCGAGATGTAACATTTTGCGGTTTAGTTTTTTGAGTCAAAGTGGAGTTCTGAAAAGAGCTCGATGAAAAAAAATATTCTTAGCTTAGTCTCGGGTTCGTTATTTTCGTAGGGTATTCGAGTAAAAAATCTATTTCTAAAAAAGAGTTGACACTGTAAGCTCTATCTCCCTATATACTATAGGACCCTAGAGAGATAAAGCTGTCATTATCCCCGAGGTAAACTTTCATTTGAATCTGTTTACTTTCCTTCCAAAAAAACCTTTAAGCTCTCTTACTATGTGAAACAAGAGCTTAATCGCTTTCACAAAGAAACCTCAGAGGGCAAAAAGGATCCGCCCCCATTACTAGGTATTCTGCATCCGTTACCGAAAACTTCCGCGACGAATTGGAATAAAAACAGCATTGATAAAAAGAAAGGGCCGGAATTTAACTACAGACATCGCAGAACAGACAGATCTTCGCCGGAACTCACGTAAAACCGCGGAAGTGTTTTGTAGAGGGTTGCGTACTACAATGTTGCTCTAAAAAAAATAATAACGGCCCTGTTGATAAACGGTATAGACAAGAAAGCCGAGTAGACGAAAAACGCGGCAACTATGTCTGATTTTCAAGAGTTTCATGGGTCGGGCTCTTTGACTGAGAATTTATTTAGCTAACTGTATAACGCACGTGGGACAAGGGTAGGACGTGTATGGAACCGGCGGATGTCGACTCCGCATTGTTATCGTTTTAAAAAAAAAAGTAAGGAACTCTCGTACAACCGTTTCGGAGACAAATTTACCGACTAAATTTCTAAAGCTCTTCCGTTTGCAACCGTCTCGATCTTCTTCAGTTTTGGCCTTCTGTTTTTCATTTTTATGAGTAGCCTTTTTCCTCTCTTGTTTTTCCTTCTTTGTCGTCTATCTATTATTTTATTTAAGGTTTACTTTTAAGAGACTACAACATCCGATGTCTACTATTACCGCGAAAATCGCGCGTCTTTCCCGCGTCCCTCGGGATACGTATGGTGTCAACTGGTCGCCTTCAGACAGTGCGAAAAGCGCCCTGCTGTTTCCTTTTGTTGATGTCAGGATTCGATTCTACTCTGTTACGGTAACCTGGTCAACATAAACAACTATGAAATCTTTAGACAACAATCCTTCGACACGTATGTTAA